GCTTCCACTTTATTGACAGCGATTTCAAACTTCTGCCCCTTGATGTGTGCGTATATTGAATCGGAGAGACCGATCTGTCCGCCCAATAATTTGTCCATATCTGTCTTGAATGTGTTGAGTGTACAGAAGAGAATCTGTAAAGTAAAGAAGTTTACAAAGAGCAAAGGTATAAGTTATAGATAATGCACTTATTATATCATTTTATGCAAAGTGATAAACATGTATTGTAAGTTGTACATGTACATGTACAGGTGTACATGAACATCAGGTACATCGTTTTTCTTTGGCCATGGATGCAGTACATGTATGAAGGGGTGACCAAAGTTCGCGGACATTTTAGAACATATTATAAAATGTGATATTTGATCTATGATTTCTCATATTCTACACAAGTTTATTTATTTCAATTATCACCAAATGGACGGCAAAGTTTTTTTCTAAAGTTTACATGTACGTTCGACTAGAAAAATTTTCATCAAAGTATTTCAGAGATATCGCGATCTAAAAATTTGATGTCCGATCGTACGTGCGCGCTGCATCTGAAAAAGTCATAAAAACAACGAGACCTACATGCACGGGGGTTTACAGTCGATTTATTAAATAATGTGATCCATCAAAAATAAGGTAATATCATAATTTGCAAGGCAAGATAGACCTACATGTACATACAATCAGTTGGAACCACTCTTTACTTACAATTTTGAGGAAATCTGCTCACAAATTAAAGATTTTCAGACCCTTATCGGTAAGTTAATAATTTTTCGGAACGGACGCAAAAGATTGCAAAATTTGCTGATCTTTTGTTTTGTCAATATTTTTCACAATTTCGTACCCAATTCCAAAGAAAATTTCATCTCTGGGTAATTTTATGTTCCTCTTTCCATTGGTGATATCAGATTTTTGAAATCTTACTGATTTGTTGAGATAGCGAATTTAGGTCCCGCACGAACTTTGGTCACACCACCTGATATATATTGTTAAAATTGTTAAACATAGACTAGATCTAGAAATAGAATCTAGACCTAGTCTAGGGTTCTATGTATTTTATTATCTTTTTGTTATTTCTAGAGTCTAGAGGCTCTAGACATTTCAAAGTAGAAGCTTTTTCTGAATAGCTCTCCATCTCTTTACAGTAAATTTTATATTTGTCATAATTTGTGTAGCCTGGTTGTAGGAGAAATGTTGGAGGCCGAGGCCAAGGACATGACATCTCAATTGACAACGTCAACAAGTTGAATGACTGACTTCAGTGAAAATGACAAACTTTAACTTAAAGTTTAAGTTAATCTTGCATTCATTTTACCTCTGATGCAGGCATGGAAAATCCTTCTCCTATTTTTTCATAGAGTTCTTTAACATTTGTGAATCCTTCTACTTTGGCAGGAGGACTACCGTGAGCTAGAAATGCACTGAAAACAAGCCGTTGTGGTTTAGGAGGTGGAGCATTATTCATTGTAGACTGCTTTCCCGGTGTTGAGTGCTGACCGGCGGGAGCATCGGCTGGTAGCGTCGGCAGAGATCTGGACGATGGATCGTCGGCGTATGGTGAATGCGTTGGTGTATCACCGGCTCCGTTATAACTTTGTGCATTTGTAACGGGGTCCGCTAAACCTCCATTCTTTTTCTTATCTCCTTTCTTCTTGCTAAAAAACGGCATTTTGAATATTCCTCGTAAACCAAATAAGTAATTTCCAAGACAAAATGTCCTTTTGTGAATCTGTTTTGCATGCAAATCCAATTTATTTGTCCGGAAATTAATGTCAGGCAGACTAAACGTCAGTAGCGAAATGTATACTCGAGACGAGCGAGCTGCGCAAGCGCAGATTAGAAGTTTTGATAAAATGAGGGAATTTGTACGCCCACTCCTACTATATCAACAGGTGGAAGTTGAAATACCTTTTATATGTGTCACTCGACCGGTCCAGGATCCAAAGCTTGTTACCCCCTCATTCCTTTAAACATAAACTGTGATTTTTTTTCTTTGTCATCCAAATCCTAGCTCTCTTTCCTTCACATGATATTTCATTGGACAAAATGTCTTTGCTCATATGTTATGATTGTTCTTTCTATCTTCCGTTTCTAAATGCTTTATTTAATTAGCTCTAATTTCTTCTCAATTAAGCCATTTCCTCTCTACTTTCCTTTGGACAGACTTTCTCTTCCCAGTGGGGTTGCTATGGAGGCAAGGGAGAAAAAGAACTGAGAACGAGGCGAGAGATCGATAAGGAAAAATGTGAGATAGATAAGATTGCTCGAAAAATGCTCTTGAAAGATTGTATTATTATATTGATCAGCAACGTGGGGACAACATAAGTCTTAAATGAAATCTGCTTCAAGAGGTGCATTAAATGATTATCGAAACAAATGTTGTTGGGTGATCCGATTTGCGTCTTGGATTTATAGTGTACAGTGTTTACCCTAATAAAACCATTTTTGATAGCCGCAGCCCTATTTTTCATCGGCTTACCTCCAATCCTTTCCTCACGGCAGGTAATAACTTCCCTGAAAAGTCTCGCCTTTTAATGAAAATTTCAGCAACTTGTAGAGGAGGGGCAGCCCTTAATTTTGCAGCAATTTGCGCCCTAATCAGATTTGTAATGGCTTTACTAATGCCAGAGGAAGAAATGTCGTTAACAGTGTTTACCTCAATAAAAATGATAACCCTATTTTTCATCGGCTTACCTCCGACCCTTTCCTCATGGCAGGTAATAACTTCCCCAAAAAGTGTTGCCTTTTCAAGAAAATTTCGGCAACCTGTAGAGGAGGAGCAGCCCATAATTTTGCAGCAATTTGCACCCCAATCTGATCAGTATTTTCCTCGCCAGTGCCACGGAAACAAATGTCACAAACACTGTTTACTCTTATAATCCTGTTGATAGCACAATTTTTATCGGCTTACCTCCGACCCTTTCCTCGTGGTAGGTAATAACTTCCTCAAAAAGTGTTGACTTTTCATGAAATTTTCGGCAACTTGTAGAGGAGGCGTGGCCCTTAATTTTGCAGCAATTTGCACCCCGATCCGATTAGTAATGGCTTTGCTTATAAGAATGTGCAACAGGTACCTATTACAAAAAAAAGGGTATTAATCTGAAGTAAAAGGGGGCATTTTTCCCATTTGAAAAGGGACACTTTTGGGGAAAAAAGTTGGGCTCTGCCTCTGTTAAAAGTATATAACCTTTGAATGTTTAGTTTATTTAACAAAAATTAATATTTAATACCAAAAGACAATGAAAAGCTGACTTTAGTCATGGTAGGAGGGGGAGGGGGGGGGGCATATACAACTGCTTTAAATTCAATAGCCTTGTGTGTCACCTATTGAAATGTGCGAACAAGGCAATGATGTATTATATCATAATAAAATCATAATTTCTATGAGACATAAAATAGGGTATTCAAATTACCCTCAAGTTGTTTAAAAAAAAATAGATACGATCATTCTTTTATTCCATTAGATTTCTTATGAAAATGACAATACCTCTCACAAAAAAAAAAAAAATCACTTATTTATTTTCAGATTTCCCAAAATGTCTACAGAAGCAGTAAAAGCACACAAGATACATGGTTTACTAATCATACTTTTAATACACATAAAAGATTTCCACATTGTACAATACAGACATACTTCAATATCTTCAACATAAATAGGATAAAAGTAAACAATATCCAAACTCGATGGATCTTTGACCGTGCGCTGTCAAAAATGATGCCTCCGCCATAGAACGAGTTTAAAGACCCAAACAGAAGCTGAGCAATTTTTCGAAATTCAAGTTTGATTGTAATCCATTAATGATCACGAGAACGGGACGTACAGACGGACAACCTGCAGAACATAACGCCACTGGCTACTTCGTTGCGGAGGCATAACAAATTAAGCTCATATGGTTTGCATAAAAGTGATCATTTCTAGGTGCAATTTACATTGTTCTGTAATTCTGACCAACAAAACAATTAATGGATGCAGTACATCAGTAACAGAACATGACACACAGAAAAGAGAATAAACAACTGGCACAAATGAAAATCAACAAACTTTTCAACTGACACCACAACATTTGATAAATCATATATTGATCAAATATGTCATATTATTGGTTCATAAATTCTAAATTTTATTTTTCATGATTTGGCATACTAAATATCAAGAATCATAAATTAACTTTGGATAAAATACTCTGGTGTTTAAAAAATAGGCACAAAATATCTCAACTAATCATCTATTGTTATAACCATTTGGAGGGTAGGTACTATCCAAACTAAATTATGCAACATCAGTCACAGTTGTTAGTGAAGCATGGGGCGACATGTTTCTTGACAGAGCTTGCAGTTAACACAATGTTTTACTTAACATTTGGAAACATATCTGCATAATGATATTTCTTCAACCCACACTAGAAATGGACGTTGCTCCTTCCCATTAATTCCTTACTAATCAGATTATTCCAATATTTACTTATGACTTGTGATGGAAAATAAAAGGAATGTTTTAAGTAACCAAATATTATCAAAATATATTCCTCACAAACTAGACTTCACAATGCTAGTCATGCAGATAACCCTTTAACTGAGAGTATTATAATCTGTTCTTGAGACCTGAAGTGGAAGGCAAACATTAGGATGTCTCTTGCAGCAGGCAGTACTTACATATCTATTCCACACAAGCCTACAGTTTAGGGTTCCTAGACTTATCTTACATTTAGTACCAATCGTTGGAATTTAGTCCTCTGTGTAGTCTTCTTCGCTCAGACTGTGCTCATCTGTTCGAGTGAGTGAATTGTGATCAAAAGTGAAAGAAACATTCCTTGTAGCCCAGACCCAGTCAATGACTGAAGCCTGCGTTGTGTGTTAACGTGCCCCTCCCCTTGTTCATAGACGCAGGTTATGTCAAGTGGAAAACACTCCGTCCCTCGGATAGGACGTTAAATGGAGGCCCCGTGTAGAGAAGAGTCACTACCTTTGCACGTTAAGAACCCACTGCACTATTCGTATAAGAGTAGGGGGAAACCCCGGTGTAGTGGTCCACCTGCACACACCCCCAGTATAGTAAGATAATACTCTGTAAAGAGGTCTGTACTCAAACGGAAGAAGAAGAATGACATGATCCTAATAAGGAAACGCTTCATGTTTTATGAAAAGAATCTTGCTAGATCTAGAACTTATCAGACTGTTCTAATCTGTTCATGAGACTTGTGATAGAGAACAAAAAACACATTCCTTGTGACCCAGGCCCCTGTCATTATCTGGTCCTCATAATCTAGACTAAATGTTTCTTTAAACATTCTAGCCCCAGACCTTTACACTGTCTTGTACAGTTCTCAGATTGTCCTAATCTATTTATGTGACTTGTGATGGCAAACGAAAGACACATTCTGGGAGGCCCAGATTTTTCAGGACCTGGTCCTGATAGATCTAGACTAAATGTTTCTTTAAACATTCTAGCCCCAGACCTTTACACGGTCTTGTACAGTCCTCAGACTGTCCTAATCTGTTTATGTGATTGTGCTGGCAGACGAAAGATACATTCTGGGAGGCCCAGACCCTTTCAGGACCTGGTCCTCATGAATCTAGACTTAATGTTTCTTTAAACATTCTAGCCCTAGACCTTCACACCGTCTTCTAAAGTTCTCAGACTGTCCTAATCTGTTCATGTGACTTGTGATGGAAGACGAAAGACACATTCTTGGTGTCCCAGACCCCTTTCAGGACCTGGTCCTCGATGCCACGTTTGTCCGCACAATGGTTCCACTGGGATAGATCACTGTTGCAGTCCGAGTCATTGGGAGGAAGCCGAACTTGGATGTTGTTTATACATCTATTGCACTTGAACCTGCAAGGTCAAACACAAAAATGCCAAGATATTATCGACTCAATTCAATTTTAAAAAATATTGGTCAAGCAAAAAATTAAGATACACTTGGCATATATACAGCAAGTAATTCTCTGTTTATATTTTTTTTAAGAACAAAAGAAGGGAGCTAATTCTTATGGGCCAGAAACAGCAGCTTTGGAAAATATGCAAATGTTGAAGTCCTGCATGAGCTCGTAGTAGAAGCCTGTCATCAAAAGCTTACTTTGAAAGGCTTCAAAATCAGAAAATTTATCTGATTATTAGTTTTTACATTCATAATGACCTAAATCCTATCAACCAATGTCATTGCTAATTTGAGGAAATCAATGATCATATAGTTTGCCAACCAGCCCTTCTTTATTGGTTTACAGTATTTTATTTGTGAATCATGAAACAAGATTATAGGCATAAATGTCCAGATTTTAATTATGACATTTCATGTGCTTATTTGTGTACAATCCTCTGTCTATTTGCCAAGTCTCACAATTCTCACAGTCTCACGATAGGTCAATCTTTCAATAACCCTGTCTCTTATAAAGCGACCTGAGGTCAAAGTTCAATCTGTGCCTCCCCCGTCTCCACAAGCATATCAGAGTTCTTACTTGTCATGGGTGTCACTGAGTGTGCCCTCCTTGAACCGGAAGAGATCCTTGAGTTCATCCACGGAGAAATGCCTCTCCACATCCTCCTCATTGTCCACTACGCAGCTAGAGAGGGCCTTCTTGTGTGCCTGTCGCTGGAAGATCTTCTCTTCAATCGTTCCTGTCTGGAGGTTGGTTGGAATTTTAAGACACAAACAAAAGAGATATTAGAATAGACCCAAAATTTAATTACTTTTGTTGCAATTTTTAATAGAATCATATTATTACTAAGGCCATGATGATGAAAGTTTTTTGTGCATATCTTTAGTCTGCAATAATAGTCTCAGATCCACAGTTTTCAAAACCATGAATTCATACATGTATCTTTGTCAAGCAGAGCATGACCCATCTATTTTAAAGTAGTGGCACCTACTTGTAGCAAAGTCACTTGCCTACTATGCCACAACCAGCTATACTTTTTATCCATAAACTCCCAAACTACAATAATATTTGATTGTTAAGTAACAATTAAATTCCATCGGCATGAAAACTACATCGTTCAATAATTAAATATCATATAATTAAACTCTTGTTTGGAGATGAGATCAATTGTGGCTATATTGCTATTGAGCTATAAACCCTGTACAGCATAGCTGTCAACCTTCCACAGCAAAAATTAGTACTGGTAATCTCTCAAGGCAAAATTAGGAATACAGTCTGTTTTGTAGATTTTTCACACAGAATATTTCAGAAAGAAAGAGGAATCTAGGATTCAAAACAATGGCTTGAAGGCCAAAAAATATGAATCATTCATCAGAAATAGGAATGATTAACAGCATTTCGAGAAGCCTCTTGCATGCATCTATTGAGTGAGCTATATCTACAAGATTTGACCACCAATAATGCACTGACCGCTAGAAGCCTGTAGATGAAGCACCGTTTCTTCTGCCCATCTCTCCACACCCTGGCCATGGCCTGGTCATCGTTGGCCGGATTCCAGTCAGGATCAAACATGACCAGACGATTGGCTCCGATCAGATTGAGACCACACCCACCCGCCTTGCTACTCAACATGAAGATGAACTCAGGACTCTGTGGTGACAGAGAGAAAGAGAGAGAGAGAGAGAGAGAGAGGGAAGAGAGAGAGAGAGAGAGAGAGAGAAAGAGGGGAGAAAGAGACAGACAGAGAGACAGACAGATAGGGGAGAGACAGAGAAAGGGAGAAAAATAATTAGAAATGCGTTCAATCGGAGAAGTCTTTGGTGGTTAAGTGGACAAGCTCAGGGGATTGGAAAATAACTGAAAATTCTCTTACAACTGAACTTGCTATCACTCTAAAAACATGCTGCATGATTGCAAAGAAAGCAGCATTGTTTGCTTTGTTATTTGAGACCCTCTAACTGGCCAAAGTAGTCTGTGCCATAAACTGACAGTGCACAAAGCTTGAAAATCAATTTTTTTTTCTTCATTTCACTAATAACAAGACAATCACCAGAGTGTGTCTTGCCAACCTGTGACCAAATTTAGACACAAAATAATTAACAGTGGCAAAGTTATTTGTCATAAGAGAGTCTTACATGTAAACTTAATATATGACCTTTGAACTTAGCATGTGACCCTTGACAGCACCATAGTGTAAAGGTCTCCAAAGTGCATCTCTGACCCACGTTTGGTAATAATAGAATTAGCAGTGGTGAAGTTATTTGTCACAAGAGTATATGACCTCAAATGACCTTTAACCTTAACATATGAACTTTTAGAGTACTACAATGTTAAGGCCCTACAAGTGCATCTTTGAACCAAGTTTGGTCACATCAAGATTAACAGGTATGACGTTATTTGTCACAAGAGAATCTTTCAGGTAACCTTTAACATATGACCTCAAATGAACTTTGTATGTGACCCTTGACATCACCATAGTGTGAAGGTCCCCCAAATTGGTCACAATAGGATTAACAGTTGCAAAGTTATTTGTTACAAGATGATCTTGCAGGTAAACTTAACATCTTTGACCTTAGCATGTGACCCTTGACAGTATCAGAGTGTGAAGGAACTGCATGTGTGACCCAAGTTTGGTCACAATAGGATTGACGGTTACGAAGTTACTTGTCACAAGAGAATCTTTCAGGTAAACTTTTAGGATTCATTCCTTCTTTTATCAAAATCTGCTCAACAGATTTTGATTTGCATCTATATAATTAGAGAATACGGTATATCTTCTTACATTTGGATTGTTGAAGCTGTCCACCACTTTGGCTCTCTTTTTGATGGACATCGACCCATCTAGACGGACAAACAGATATCTAGAAAGAACACAGAAGAAAAGTTTGAAAACAACAATGGTGGGAGCATTACAATAGGGATACATTTCAACCTGTGTGAATACAATTACTATGGCATGATGACCCTTAATAAGTTGAAACACAGTGGGACCTTTTTTTCCAGTTTTTTAAGTTAAAAAACAACTCGGAAGAAAGATCATTTCCCCCACAAGGTTCCTTTAATATGTATAAACAATAAACAACTTTATACAAGATAGTTACATTGAATATGTTTGCCATACAAATAAAATCGGCCATATAACAGTCACATAAAATGATAAACATTATTTGTATTACAAAGAAACTCAAAATTATTTGGTAAACAGAAACAATTTTTTTTTTAAGTTCTTTTCTTTGAAATTTGTTCTTGCAATATACCTTTTCATATCATAATATGATTTGATTGCCAGCATAATTTCTTTTACGGTAAATCATACTTGATTGCTAATCCTCCGTAGAACCTTAACAGTAACAACATATCAATAACCATTAATAAATACTTAACAATTGAAAAGAAAACGAGAGAACAGATTATCACCGCTACATCGGTCTGTGTTTGGACATACCCTCTCAACCTACAGAGCTGCTCAAAGACATCTAGGGTTTGAGTGTAGTTAGATACCAAGACCACCTTGTCTGATGAGGATGTCTTGGTGATGGCAAGGATGTAGTCCAGGACCTGCATCTTCCCTGGAAGGTCCAATCATAATATCATGGAGAGGAGGAGTTAGGGAAGGGAAATAATGACTATATTTAGATGGAAATCATTGTAATCTGCTCATAACTTCCATAAGTTTATGGTAGGATATGTAATGTTACAATTTGAATTAATTTTGCCCTGTCGTAATTGGAGTAATTTTTTTCTCTCCCCCCCCCCCCCCCCCTCCCCATCATTTATTAATTGAATAATATGTACATAAGAAACTCTAAAAAAAAAAAATAATAATAATATAAAACTTTAAAAAAAAAAAAAATTAACATTTTTTTCCAGAGGTGTTACTTTTCAACATTTGCCCTCCATAATATTTCCTTTAAATAAATGTTGAACATGTTTGTAAAATTACATTTTCATTTTTGCGTATATAAAACATAAAAAACTTGTTAATTCCATCTAATAAAAACACCTTACCGGAAAGCTCTGGTCTGAGTTGTTTGTTGTTGTAGCCAGGAGGAAAGTTCTGAAGCATATCATGGAAGCCATCTTTGGAAGAAACACACTTGTCATACACAAGAGCAGGATCTGTAGAAAGAAAAACAAATAAATTTCAAATGGCCTTTTCATGAATCATGGTTCTCTTGTTAACATCTGCAATTCCCTGCACTCTGGCCTCAACCAGTCACCATTAATTTCATTGCTTTCAAATCCTTTTCCTAAATAATGCAACTCTTTTAAAAATTCAAACTGGTATCACGTTTTCATATAATTGTCATCATTGATCATCATTTACAAAAGAAATTTCCAGGTTTGCCAAGAATATCATATGCTTCTTATGATTTCTAACTGTGGTGACAGCATAGAAGATTATAGTTATACTAGTTTAACAGAGGATATTAAGAACAAAGATGGCATTAAAATTTTTCAGTTTGTCATATAGAATGATTGAGAATCTTCATATGATGGTATTCTTCATTTCTATTGAACAAGTGTTTAAATTTATGTGAATTGATAAGGTTTATTGATTAAAAATGAAAAAAAGAACAAAAGAAGGACACTCACGATTGCAGAGTTTCTTGAGGTGGGTGATAGCAGAGAGCGTAGAGACTTTGCCCTGAGTCTTCATCCGGCATTCTTTCATCATGGCCTTCACATACTGCTGATAAATACAGGACTGCATGGAGGTGAGCCTACAGCATACCACCTGCTCCACTGCAAAGACAGAAACAGTAGAAACAGTATTAAAACCCACTTGAGATCAGGGCCAGTATTCAATTCAATGCTTGTGACAGAAATATGAGTATTTTACTCAGTTTTCAGCTTAGGTAGAATACTGTAATAGCCAACTTTGGTATTCAGTTGAAGCCTTTTGCTAAGTATTTCCCTAGTATAGGCTTAAGCCAATTATTTTGGTGACCTTGATTGGCAGGATATGGATTTCACACGCATACTGCGCACAATTATGTTGGCATGCATTTAATGCGACAAGTATATTTTCTAAACAGCAATCTTTACATTATGGGAGACCAAACTTTAGCTGGATTAGCTGAGCACAATTATATTAACGCGCAATTAAAATCACACTATGCAGCTTTTGCCGAGTGTTTTTTTTTGTGTGGCTGGTCACAATTGATCCTACTACTTATGACAGCAACTGGTCTGACCACTTACAAAAGCAATATTATGTAGGACCATTGGAATAGTTTCAATGTTCAGTGAGGTTCTATCTCCCATCATGTTTAGGGTTAGCTTCCACTGGACAAATGAGCTGTAGGACTGTAGAGGGTAATACAGTACTCCATGGAAGTAGCCCCTTAGCACTAATCTGTGAGGACCAACAAACTAAATAATTGTCTTAAAAGTTAAAAACTGTTTCTATAATAACAATGATAATAAAGAAAATATTAGAAGCATCAGTATTTATTCATCAATGTGTACTAAAGTGCTCAATTTTATTATCAGATGCTTTATAAATAGTGCAATGGTTTATACTTTGTATACAATGGTTTTTACCTTTCACAGGCAGATATTTAGCTAGCAGAGAAGCTGAAAGAAAAGCAAACAAAAGATGATATTTATAGAGATTGTTACATGCTTGTATGATGTCCACACATTAAACCTTTCAAAACTTATGTGAGATTGGTCATAAACTCAGCAAAAAAAACCCCAGAAAACACAAAAAACACTCTTTATTGTTCATTTTTTTTTATAAACCATCATTAGAATATGATAAAATGCATATCGAATTACAGAAAAATCAATTCACTACCAACATCAATTAAGATTAGGTTTTGAACTTTCATGCTTGGATGGGCACATTCATTTAACCGTGACCCGCAACTGTTTGGACAAAAATGAATTCATAGATATACACATAGTATGGAGGTTACATACATGTATGAATGTTTAATCCATACAAAATGAAGGCTTATGTGGCTATTCAAAAGAAAAGAGCTACAAAATCGAAAATTCAATTGAAGAAAATAAATACATAAGACAATTAAGTTCATAAACAATTAAGCTCTGATCAAATTGGTAATAAACATTACCTATACAATGAAATTCTAAATGAAATATAAAATAAAGGACTATGTTGCTTTTCAAAAGAAAAGAGTTACCAAACAATTTTGAAAATTCAATTCAAGATTAAAATACATAAGACAATTTAGTTCAGGAATAAGCTTTGGCCGATTTGGGAATAAACTTTATACAACCAAATTCAAACTTGTTTAATTTTGAAAATTTAATAGAAGAAAAAATGCATAAGACAATTTGGTTTAATAATCAAGCTCTGACCACATTGGTAATAAACATTATATATACAATGAAATTCACAAACTTGTTTAATGGGTTTTAAATTTGAATCCTATACATACCTGTCCTCCTGATAATACACTTGTTCACTAATATGGCAAGCTAAGAAAGAGTGGCGAAGAGCAGGAAAAAATTGTTACAAAAGGAATTATAATATGGTACAGGGTGAAATGCTACAGGGCTTAACTCAGCTCTCAACTAACATAAGATAAAGAGGATCATGGGGGACCAACAGGCACCAATTGGGGAAGTTTTCTATATAGAGGGAGCAAGTAGCTACAAGTAGGACAGTGGGGCTTTAAGAGACATCTGAGAAAGAGATCAAGAGGAAAGAGAGAAGACAGAACAAATGTTAGGGAAAGAAATGAAGAACCCAAAACGAACAAACCAAGAGGGGGTGGGGACAGTGGTAAGGAAGGTGACCCTGGGCCCCGTTTCATAAAACTTGTTATCAAGAGCAAGTTCCAAGAACTGTTATAAGCTACTGAAATCGTGATATTTGATTGGCTGTAAGCAAATTTGTCATAGAATTTTAGCATTTGTTATAGATAACAAGTTTTATGAAACACGACCCTGATTGCTCTGTATCTACATGTAACATGAAAGGCCATAAAAGACAGTCGTCATAGATCTAATACCAAGAAACTCATTATTGTACCTACCTATGTTATGAACCTAGAATTTCAGACAAAACAAAGATTACAACAATAATTTTGTTTAAAATATGATAAAATAATAAGGAAGATATTTTCCCTCTATACAGCCTACTTTAATTCCTACACCTATCTGAACAACCTTCCAGAATCTAGAGCCATCTCACCTGCTGCAGTTTCTCCTGTCCCCTCTGCTTCTCCTTGTCTGATGCACAAGAATCCCTTCCTCGTAGGATGGGGCTCTCAAAGTTCTTCTTAAACTCCTGGGCGGTGCCTAGATATGGAAAGAGGTGACACGTAATAAAACAAACATAATTCTACTCGTGACAGGGCTAGGGGCACACAGTTCTAAAGAAGTACAGGCTTGTACATGTATATATGAAGAAAAAAAGAAAAAGAAATTAAGTAATTCAAATTTTAGCACAATCTGCATAAACTGATGCACAGGAATCCCTCCCTATATGAATATCAAAGTCTCAAACACCTCAGTGCAATATCTATCCTACGTCTTTCCAGATAACTTGAAAGTTACTAGAATCATACCAGTTTAAAAAAATTGACAACCTGAAATAATGTCCAACTACCCTCCTATTTCTGTCTTGCTCATCTTTTATCAAAATGTCTTAATAGCTATTTACTTAAAGAAAATGTATTTTTTTCAAAAACTATTACAGAATATTATGACTATAAACAGAATTCAAGCTTGAATACCCCCTTTTCTCTTGAAGAGTCTTTGGGTGATGCAAATGTCAGATAAGGACTTAACCATATGGGGAAAAGACAGAGCGTTACATAAAAAAGGTTGTTGGTCATAAAACTAAAGGCTAATCCTGGTGATTGTCAACACATGTTATTGGGTAAACACCCGATTGGTGTCAAATTCCCCATGAGAGCTCCCTTCTTTGTGTCTTTCAAAACTCCTGCACCGATCTGAAGCAGACCCTTACCTAGAATGCCTTGGTTGACATAGTGAACGAGACTGAAGTACTCTAGAAGATCATTCTGGATGGGTGTCCCTGACAGCAGTACCCGCCTCTTCCCTGGAAGACCATTCAGAGCCTGGTAGGTCTGGTTCTCACAGTTCTTCAAGCGATGACCCTGCAAAGTTCATCAATCAAATCAAAATGGTAGAGTTTGACCCTTGAGAAAAGAAATTCAATAATGAAAAGCTGAAAGGTTTTTTTCTCCTGGGAGGCCATTCAGAGCCTGGTAGGTCTGGTTCTCACAGTTCTTCAAGCGATGACCCTGCAACGTGCATCAATCAAATCAAATGTTGGAGTTTGACCCTTGAGAAAATAAGTTCAATAATCAAAAGCTGAAAATATTGTATTTCTTGGGAGGCCATTCAGAGCTTGGTAGGTCTGGTTCTCACAGTTTTTCAATCGATGACCCTGCATAATTCATCAATCAAATCAAATGGTGGAGTTTGACCCTTGAGAAAAAAAGTTTAATAATTCAAAGCTGTAAGGGTGTATTTCAGAGATATATTCCATGGAATTCATCTCCAGTAAAATCAAAGATTTGAGGGTATTTTTCTCAAACTTAAATCAAAGTTACGAGAATATCTCAGCATATAGCATCTCTCTTCCAATAAGCTCATGTGTGTGTGTATCTATAGGTATCTCACAAAAATAAAGAGTTTCTCACACAATTTTGCACTACAAAATTTCTTTTGGCAACATTTTCAAGTTTTTATATCCTCAGAAGGTTTCTATGGTGAGCAAACTTTTTCACTCAAGGTGACCATGTGGTGTTACCAAGAGCTTTAAATTATGAAGTCTTTTATAATTGAACTCGATGACTACTGAATACTCTATTGCCTTCATTCAGGGACAACCTGGTTTCTGTAGGCAATGGTTTAAAATTACACAATATTTGTGCAATATCATCCCACGCAGTTCAGTCACGATATCTGCCAAAGGTGAATACTTGTTTCTATAAGCAAAATTCTCCTACCTCATCACAAATAACCAGTCCCACCTCTCCCTTGTGTAGGACCTCAGCATGTAACCTGAACGTCTCGTAGGAGATGATCAGAATGGGGGTGGGTGTCCGTCGACCCTGCTGCCTCATGAAGGAATCTACAAGAAATGGCCAGGTAAGGTAGGGCTAAAGCTTATACTGTGAAGCTACAGGATTCATGGCTGTTAACTGTACATGGACCACGTTTACTTACTACCTGATATAAACAATAGAGACATTTCTTTGAAATGGGGCATGTTCATGTTAGATTTAGGATATTTATTCTGTTAAAAATCATTGCAATGCATAAATATGAAACAAAGAGAGAACTCTGAGGTCTGCAGTGCAGCATGTCTCTGTTTCTGTTGCGTCGGTATACTCAGGATTAACTTTACCACACCAACGTTTTGATTAGTTTGGCCGTGTATGTGCTATATGGCAGGAGAGGTGTTTCACATTTGGAGTTTATGCTTGTTAATCATAAGGTGGACAAATCGTGTTTTTTACAAAACATATAAGGTCATACATTAATGGATTTGTCTAAAAGTACATGATTAAGTTTGGTATTCATAACATATCTAAAAGGGATAGATTCGATAGAAGGGGAGTGTACTTTGTGTTTGCCCTCATGGTGACCATATGGTAGAACTACTCCCCAGGGACTAAAGAGGGTGCACACTGTGCATGAATAAATCCGCTGACCGGGATAAATAATATCTGTAAAGCGCTTATGGATGGTTTTCCAGTATAAATATTTAAATATATATATAAATCCAGACCCAGCTACTAGGAAAATAACCATTACAATGCACTTTTCAGTTGGCATTCCATACACATTACAATAAATATGATGATGATAGATAACTTACCCAAGTTCCTATCAATCTCTTTCTTAGTACCAGAGTCGATGGCCAAGGGGTTAACCTTCCCTCCGAGCCACTTACGGATCTCATTGTACCAATTCTAGGTGGGAGAAAAACAACTAAAAAATAATTATTTCTCATTCTCAAGATGCACCTCATTAATTCATTAGTAAATGTTTCATTAAGCGTTAATTTCATTGCAGGACTAGCAGGATGAATAAGCTTAACTATTTGGAGTAACAAAAATAAATTATACTCTGAATTAAGAGCCACCAGCCTACTTGAAAACGAGCTTTAAAAGAAATAGGGGTATGGAAATCAAAATAATGCTTAATTAATATACATGTAGATCTTATCTTATAGGATACCAATCACCAATATATATTTTCTTCTGTATACCAGTACTTCCAACACGTTATCAAAGCTTACTTTTACATAAATTCAGCTAAATAATAGTAAAAAAAAACTCCCATCTCAGGCACATACAAATAATACAAAAATATTTGTTCATTTTGAAAAAATATAAAATAATATTTGATGTTGTTTTTATGATTCTTACCTTAACCAGACTAGAAGGTGCTACAACTATTACTTTGTCTATTTCAGGTTTACCTAATGATGAATGAAAAAAGTAGGAATATTACAAGGTGTGGATATTATTATACTTAAACTGAAGGAGACTGTATTTGACAGTTCTTTTTGGTATCTGTCTCACACAAATATTAAATAATGTTTATACTGCTAGATAAATCTCTGTATTTGGGTCTACAATTAATCAAAAGTTATGACACTGTTAAAAAGTACAAAGACTTTCTGCTTGCTCTTTTAGAAATAAACTGACCCTCTCTTAGTCCTGATAATTCAGAATGTTAGGGTGTATGTTGTTTTATATAAGATTTGCAGCTATTCGCAACAAAGTTTCCCCATAGATTTTAGCAAATTTTACCACTGAAATTATCAGAAGTAACAATTTCTGATTTGACAAGTAATTAGTCTGTGGTACTTTGATGAAAAAACAATTTAAGATAATAAAATATTTTTCATCATATGTTATGCAAATATTTAAGCAATAAATGAATAATGTGAGAGAGAATTCTTACAATCTGGACTCTGCCGTAATAAGGTCCACATCAGCGTCACACACTGCAGTGTTTTTCCCAAACCCTGCAAACAAGATATAGAGACTTATTATTCCTCCAATTGCAAACAATAGCCACTTCAGGTATCAAAAGACAGCTGGTCACACCAGCAGTCCCTGTAAGGAGAGTCGCAAATAGAGCAACTCAGATGATATTCATTTAAAAACAAAAGAAACTAAACATTTTTTACACATGTTATATAAGAAATTTGTGAAACACAAAATGTGGAAGTGTACATTTATATCGGAGAAAAGTGAAATTGCATGACAAAAAAGTGTCTAGATCTATATAAAAGGAACGGAATAGAAAACTAACATCAGTAAAGCAGCTAAAGCTCATGAATAAGTTGGCAGGATTAGACTTCCACTTAAAGAAACCAGAAGTCATGAATATAACTCTGCTGATAGATATTGAAGTCTTCCAGAGCAACATTGAATACCGGTAATTAAGTATAGTTTGAACTTTAACTAGTACGGGGTAAGTACATTTACTCTATTTTTTTAACGTCTGGAGTGTCAGTACTTTAGTTCAAAGCAAATAATGATAACGAATGCTGTTCTATTTGGGACATATCACATTTATAAACATATATTTATTGGTACTAATGGATACTTTACAGGTTCCAAGCAAAATAGCAGGGTTTATAGAATTGTTATCTCACCATTTCATCAGCCATGATGCATCCAAAACTGCCCTCTATTCTTCTTCCAGTAACACAGTCCCATAGAAACTTGACACCCTTTACGTGTTGGTGAAAGAGAAGACAGTATCATTGAATTATGTTTAACCCTTTCGCGACAATCAATTCACATTTTGTGGTTTGGCTTAATAACTTAAAGGTAAAGACCAGTATTGGAAACCCCCAATTTCAAAAAATGAAACGGAAGCTCTCATTACCAATCATGTGAAAGAATATGTTTTGACTAATACATGATGATAAAAAATTTGCCGGGAAACTGCCTACTAATTCATATATTTGGTAAATTTGTTTCTCTCATGGTCTGTGAGAGATATAGGGTAGTCCCATATACATCTTTCTGTGTATAGTGCTTGTAACTTTACGAAGAATGGGCCAAATTTCTTATCATTTTGATGATTCCAGAACCTTGCAGATGCTAGATGCTAGATGATCAACCTTTTCTGATCAATTCCACAACGTTTCTTTCACAATGCAATCGCATGACCATAACTGGTCTTTTCCTTTAAACTCAGAGCCTTAAAGAAACACCACATCCACGAGTAGAAAGCTCAAAAGTTTCTGCACACACAGCAGTAACTTTGGTTTCATGACTATACTGCATTTGATGCTAGGAATTTTAAAAAAGGAAAATAAGCTTTACAATCCTTAAAGGTAATACAAAGTTTTGGGAAATTATGAAAATTGGGTGGATAGGGATTCTTTACAATTTTGATATATATGGATGCCCCTGTGGATGCATTATAAACGCTAGCAAATTTAGCCCCTTAAACACTTCTGCTTTCGAGAAAAATTGAATATAAATATTTACCGGTACTCCCGGTAAATTTTGATAAATTTCAAATAGCGCCTACGGACGTACAATGGTAGCTGCTACCATGAAAACCTCAGAATATGTAGTTGTGATGTATAATTTCCAAACGGGAATAGCTAATCGGTCGATTTTAGTCAAGAAACATTGTTTTATAGCTTAATTAATATCTTGACCTTGAGAGGGAGCTATAAAGCATAAAGAGTTTATTATTTACGATTTCATAACATTAGACTAGAATTCAACGATCACTGCATATTGTAGGGTCGCATATGCTTCCAATATGTTCATTTGAACCAAATTCATGACCCCATACCAAAACTTTGTATTACCTTTAAATTTACAAGGTTCATAGCCATTGTGTTTCCATCAAAATTGGTAATTTTTTCAACTTTTCAACAACGTTCTTGCTCATCTATATTGTTTTCAGAGATATCACATATTATTTGAACAATGTGGCAATAAAAGAAAAATATGTGATCAATTAAGCCCTAAATATAAATCCTGTCCTGAAAGGGTTAAAGTGTAAGCATGAGTAATAACAGAGGTACAAAAATGTTGGTGAACTTAATATACTAGTGACGGTTTCATAAAGCACTGCCTTGCAGAAAGACAGGGATAGGCAGGAGGCAAGGGATAGCAATACAGGGAGGGGTGGCAATTGGAAACCTTGGAAAAAAAAAGGTATAAGAAAAGAAAACTATTAAAGTAAATGAAATGAATGCTAAGAATCATACCTCTCGCTGATGGGGTCGTAACACCTTACTCAGTATGGGATCCACTACCACTGAAACATATAGACAAATTGTAAAGATTTTGTATTACTTTTAGGTACTGCATATATATCATAGGGGTTCTCAAACTTTTTTCTTCACAGTTCAGGGCCATTTATTATAAAGCATTTTGATTGATCTTAAGGTAACTATTTAACGTAAGTCTATGGCTCAGCGTGTATTGATCAAACTTAAGATCAATCATAACTCTTTATAATGCGCGGTCCAGATGTGATTTCCAAGAAAGCTATAAGGTCTGAAACAATGGGCAAATCTTGTATTTTTGTTTCTTTTTGTATGTTTTTTACATTGTAAGTGCTATGGAGTATGGTAATTCATAGCACAGTATAAATGATAATTATTATAATACACTACTATTGCCTTTTTTTTTTAGGCCGCCATCCTTGTCAAGCTTTGCTTATGATTGCGGTCTCCTGCACTTTTCCAACAGAATAGTTAGGATAATACTTTAAATTTATAATAATATGTTATGAAAATATTGAGTTTCATTATTATATGTACATATATTATGTAAAAAACATTTTGACAAGAAGAAATTATTGTTTGTATAATTATGTTGTATTATACCTTACATTTATAATTTTTATATGTTCTTTGTTATTCAGTTATATTATATTTTGAAAAATGCAAAAATCAAATCAAATCAAATCAAAATCAAATACATCCTCACCATGGACAGGTTGTTTCTCTTTATCAACAGACAGCTGTTCATGAGCACTCAGCTCCGGTGGGGAGAAGAGAACCAGGGCTCCCTCTTCTGTTGGGTCGTGGAGAGGTTGTCTGACACCTTGTCTGCGCATTCCCAGCCCCCTTGGACCTTCAGTGGCTAATTGTATCAAAGATTGTGAATATTGTGCACTAGAACAATCTTGCAAAAAAATGAATATACAGGTACCTTACTAAAACTAAATATTTTTCTGTTGTTATACTAATTATGGTTGATATTGGCTTTTGTGTGAGGCTGAAGGAAGTAGTTACTATTGTTTGAAAAATACCAAGTGTTCATACAATTACATAGAATCATGGAAAAGCCATCTTAAACTATGGAAATAAAAACACAGAATGAGTAAATCATTTTCCATATCCAAGTGCATACATTTATATGTATGCTAATGAAATACATCATACTTTCCACAAAAAATTCTAATAAGCACAAGTGGCTTATTAGAATAAGCCATTATTCAAAATTGCACAAATCACTTGAAATTTTCTTCTCTTTGAATGGCATGCTTACCTTGGTAGTTTAAAATTGGCACTTTGAATGGCTTGGACAAAATCTTCTTGATCAAGGCTTCCTGTAGAATAGAGAGATTAAATCAGAAAACAAATCATTTTCACATAAACATTTTGCCAAAATAATAAATATCCTTCATACTTTTTTTGTTCTATAAGCAGTTTCCTCTTTTTTTGCTCCATACCTGTTTTGAACTCTCTTATCTTTTAATAAATCTTGCTTCTTATATCTTCTTTAAATATCTTCCTTTGTCTTCCATTGTTCCTTCTTTCTTGAGATACATATAGGTATGTTGCCCTATAACTTAACCCAAACAAGACAGTATAAAAGTCACCTTCTATTCAAAGAAGCTTCTTTTTCCCCCTTCATATTCTGTAAATAATATGACATTTCTTAAAATATCATACAATGTAACTCTTCTTTTTTGTGTTTGTGTTTGTATTTGTATTTTTTCTTCTTCTTTTTCTTCTTCTTTGGTGCAGTCTGCTTCCTTCAATCTTGAAGATTCTTGCTTTCATGCCATTGTACTTTTCATTCTTTTCATTCCTAAATCACTCTGGAAGGAGTTTCGTGGTCGAGTGGTTTAAGGCGCTTGATTGGAGATGCGAAGGATCGAGGGTTCAAATCCAGACACGGCACTAATATCGGCAAGATATTAACCTGCACTTGCTACTCTCCACCAAGGTGTTAAATGGGTACCCGGTAGGATGCGACCGTCATTGTTAGTCAAATAGTTTTGAGCGTCAAGTAACGCATGGCTGGAATGCTCCCCAGGGAGTGGAGATTGTGCACACATTGTGTGCAGGCAAGTTTTGAATCCAATGACCGGGGTAATAATATATCTGTAAAGCTCTTAGAGACATCATAGATGTATTAAGCACTATATAAAAGCGGAATTATTATTATTATTACTAAACTACTTGAAGAAGAAAAGACATTTCCACCTACATGATCACTCATCCTGCTTGATCTGTCTCCTCCATCCTGCACTGATGTCCTGACTGCCAGGGGTTGCCTCATCCTACACATGCCTGGAGGCAGTCCCTTCAGGTGGCTGGTGCGTTGCGTCCCTCCTGACCCATTGAGATGTGCCTTCTTCCTACTAGACAACTGTAACAAGAGAAAGGCAACTATTTTTATTTAAAAATTAATTGCACTGTCCAGTCATGAAGCAGTTAAATATATGATTATCCAAATACCAAGAATCTTGCAAAACTCTTTCCCAAAATGAGGCCAACGACAATACCTCACTTCAAAGGCTATCATTCTGTCCCCAAATAGGCTCATATCACATCTCCTCCTTTTAATATAAAATCTTCCACCTGCTCCTCTGTAACAAGAGAAAGGCAATTCTTTTTATCTAAAAAATCAGGTGCACTGTCCAGCCATTAGTGTCATGCATGTAGAAGTCAGATACGATTATCCAAAATTATACCAAGAATCTTGCAGAATTACTATTTGTCAAAATGATCAGGTCAATGGCAATACCTCACTTCAAAGGCTTTCATTCTGTCCCCAAATAAGGCGCTCATAACTCCTCCTCTTAATATAAAATCTTCCACCTCCTCTTTTTTGCAAGGGGAGGTAATAAATTATGCTAAGGCAGATTATGATTTCATTTTTCCTTTTTTTCTTTAGGAGGAAATACTGTTACCGAACATGGTGAATCAAAGCCTTACTTGAACTGTTCTGGCTTCTCTGGTTGACTCTCCATCTTCTGTTTCCTTTCTCTTTATACCAGTCCCCAATGCAATCTGACTGGGAGCCTGTCTTCTCAGCTGGAAAGATAATTAACATCATTAACATCCAAAGACGGCATTGTCATGGTGACAGTCTAACTAAATTTACTCTAATTTTTTATTTGTTACAACTTACAGAAGTGAACAAAAAATATTGCTTTTCATGAAATGATTATGATAAAATGATAGAACTATCTTACCCAATAATGAATTTCTATTTCAAGTGAATTACTAATTAAGATGTTTTTTTAACTAAAGTCTTAAAGACAAAGAAATGTTCATAAAGATTTTAAAAAATAAACAAACTCAAAAAAAAGTCTCAAGTCATTAGACATGCATGACTCATTCCATTCTAAAAAAGTAACAAATTAGTTATGATTTTTTTCATTGAAGTATTTCACTTAATTAAAACTTACTTTTATTTTACTTAACCATTTTTTAAGTTTGAACAACTATCATTTTCGTCATATTTAAGGTACAAACTGGAAATTTATTCTACGATGTTCGTTGATTTTTCTATTTTATGTGTTTGCAATGCTGTGTGTGCGTCAGTTAGTCTATGTGTGAAGTGCATCACCTGTTTAAGGCAGGACGTGTCAAAATCTCTGTGGTGTGACGTAATATTAGGTATTAACTTTGCCATTGAACTTAAGTTGCGCTTAAAGGAAATACAAAGTTTTGGTATGGGATCATGAATTTGGTTCAAATGAACATATTGGAAGCATATGCAATCCTGCAATATTCAGTGATCGTTATCACGGTTGAAATCGAGTCTAAAGTTATGAAATTGTAGATAATAAACTCTTTATGCTGTATTGCTCCCTCTCAAGATCAATTTATCAATTCAGCCATAAAACAATATTTCTTGACTAAAATCGATAAATTGGCTATTTCCGTTTGGAAATTATATATCACAACTACATATTCTGAGATTTTCATGGTCGCAGCTACAATTTTATGGTTGTAAGCGCTATTTGAAATTTATCAAAATTTACCGGGAGCACCGGTAAATGTTGATATTCAATTTTACTCAAAAGCAGAAGTGTTTTAGGAGCTAAATTTTCTAGTGTTTATAATATGGTGGGGTGACCAAAGTTCGCTATCTCAAAAAATCAGTAAGATTTCGAAAATCTGATATCACCAATGGAAAGAGGAACTTAAAATTACCCAGATATGAAATTCTCTTTGAAATTGTGTATGAAATTGTTAAAATATTGACAAAAGATCAGCAAATTTTGCAACCTTTTGCGTCTGTTCCGAAAAATTATCAATTTACCGATAAGGGTCTGAAAATCTTTAATTTAAGAGCAGATTTCCTCAAAATTGTAAGTAAAAAATGCTACCAACTGATTGTATGATGTCTTGCCTCGCAAATTATGATATTTCCTTATTTTCGATGCATCACATTTTTTGATAAATCAACTGTAAATCCCCGCGCGTGAAGTTAGGTCTCGTTGTTTTTATGACTTTTTTAGATTCAGCGCGCACGCACGATCGGACATCAAATTTTTAGATCGCGATATCTCCAAAATCCTTCCACGATAATTTTTTTTAGTTGAACCAATCTGTAGCAAAAAACCGTGCCGTCCATTTGGAAATCATTGAAAAAAATTAATTTGTGTAGAATATGAGAAATCATAGATCGAATATCACATTTTGTAATGTGTTCTAAAATTTCCGCGAACTTTGGTCACCCCTTCATACATCCACAGGGGCATCCAAATGAAGTCGGGCTAACTCAGACCAGGGGACAACTCGGCCTAGGTACAAAAACGGTCAGTTTTTGCATGTTTAGGTTTAGGTTTAGGGTTAGGTTTAAGTTAGGTTTGGTTAGGGTTAGAGTTAAGGTAAAATGACAAAAAATGACCGTTTTTGCAGCTGGGCCGAGTTGTCCCCTGGTCCGAGTTAGCCCGGATCCATCCAAATAAATCAAAATTGTAAAGAGAATCACTAGACCCTATCCAGCTAATTTTCAAAATTTACCAAAACTTTGTATTACCATTCAGTTAAGTAGGCACTCCCTCACTCAAATTCGAAGCCACTCGAGCGGATCGGCCAATGAGCTAGATTGAGAGTGCGTAAACTCACTGTCAGTGTCAGCGCTGAGTTCAATGACAATGCTCAAAGTTCTCCGTGCTCTCAGCTCAGTCTCACTCCTCCATTCAACAAAAATGCTATTCCAGACATCTACCCCCCAAAAATCACTTCGGCTGGACCCTGGAGTTGAGATTCACCTTAAATCGACTTCACTTTCAATCAGCCTAGCTCTCGCCCGGGCACCTACAGTAGCTACGGCTACGCACCCGACAGCCCCGCCGTCCCGGTGGCAGTGCTTCTTCCTCGACTCGGCCTCGGGCTCTCGCGATCTCGCGTTAAAAATAAATGCGTTTCTAAATCTAAAGCTCTTACCATTTCAGAAGCCTTCTAATTCGTTACTGCAGCAGCGACAATGTCATTCCCGTACTTCAATACTGAGCATTAATAAAGTCCGATCACTTTTCGATAGGATTGCTTTCCATCTTTATCTATATCTAGACCCTCATGTCATGACTTTGGACAAAATTCCTAAACATTCGAACGGAGCGCGCGCTTGTTCTATGGAAAGCCAATTGTAGACCAATATCGGATTGTCGCCACAAACAGCGCAACCGGCCATATCCGAGTGCACTTGTGTTGTTGATTGTTGTTCGCTCCGACTGTATTTATTTTTTTACCGGTAATATGTCTTCTGCTAAAACTGTTGCCACAGAAGGGGGTGTAGATGGTCAACATTCCATTGTTAAGAATGAGTCAGCCAAGTACTTGTGTTTCACGTCGTGCGACAAAGATACATGGATTATTCAGTAAGCTTCTTTTTTTTCTCTCCAAATCCACACATAGCTACGGTACGGTACATTACGGTACCGTACTATCCTGGCTGTGTATTAAAAGCTGTGCTAACGATTCTCAACATTTCAAACACCACTGTACAAAACTCAACTGATTTCACTAAAAATCAGTACTTTAGTGATAATTGATGAAATCTAAATAGCAGTGAAATACAATTTTTTTAAGTTACCGATGTTCAAAACAATAATTAAAAAATTCAAATTGTAAGTCTACTGTCAAACTTGCCGATCAGCCACATCGGCATTAGTGTGTGCATTGTGGTGTTATAAATGTATTGACTACTCATGTATGCAAATGCTGGCTATTAACACGTAGTGCAGTGCTAAAGGTCAATACGCATTAGCATAGACTCTCGACGCTATGCTTTGCTGGAAAGCTTGAGTGTCCAAATGCAAATCCAATGTTCTAGAGTGGAATTTAAAAAAAAAAAAAATTAATCTCGATGTCGACAGAGTAAATAAATTTAATGGTAATTTATTTTGGCGCTAGTTCAGAAGTCTAGATCTAGATCTATCCAGACTGGAAAAATTAACAAACATTTCAGAACAAATTTCCAGTTTGACGAAAATGAGAATTGTTCAAACTTAAAACTAATATTAGGGCTGTCAACTTTGGGGAATGGCTTCGAGGGAGGTCGTATGCAAATTTTTGTTTTGCTCAACGGCAGTGGCGTACGCAGGATTTTTTCAAGGGGGGGCGTTATAAAATTTGAAAATCGACTCAGCCAGCCGCTGAATAAGCGGGTTTAGAGCAAATTTTTTTTTGGTCCTGTTTTTGGACGTGCTTACCATGTTTGGCGGGAGGTTTTTTCATAAACCGGGAGATTCTACATCGAAGCGGGAGAGCGGGAGGAAATGCGTGCTGGCGGGAGTCTCCCGCTACAAGCTACTGGGACGGCGGGAGAATGAGCATGGTGGCGTGAGACTCCCTCCAAATGCGGGAGGGTTGACAGCCCTGTAAAAGATAGTTATGTATTCAGACTTAAACTTAAGTGAAATATTAATCTTTTAAGGATGCTGAAAAAAACAGAACAAATAGAGAGTTTGACTGAATTATCATAATTTTGGTATCGGATGAAACGAAAAATCGCAAGCTATATCCTCGCATTTATAGAGCCTATGCAGAGATGCCAAGTTCAAAGATCAGCTATGCGTGACATTTTCATGACTCGTGGCAAGGGTATATAGCGTTTAGTGTAGTTTCGTAATCCCGCGTGACACGACGTGATGCCGGCCTGCATGCATGCTATGTGCATGCGATATAGGTACACAAACCCTGCGAGGAGCTAGCTGAGGCCTCGAGGCGGTCGGCCAGTACATAGTCTAGCAATTACTACCTTTTTTTCCTCGCCCATTCTGGCCCTGATGCACGACAAACATTGTTGCCATGCGTGACAGCGTTTTCAGACCCTCGATGTGTGACTGTCACGCATAATGCGTGACGCTTGGTAGCTCTATTGGTAGCGTCTATTGGCTCACCATCGATATGCCAGGAATGTCTGCTGATTGTACGATGTTGGTTCAGCACGATGACAGCACTCTTAGTGGGGTTGATCTTGTATCTCCATTCTTGAGTATACTGGAATGTGATGTTAAGCATCTGTTGGAGCTCTGTTTACTCGTTAATAAGGAGAACAATATCATCAGCAAATGCTATGACACCTACATGTACGTAGAGGTTCCTGATCATGCAACCTAGATGGCATTCTCTCAGGAGCTTGATGAGGTCATCAATGTAGAGTGTGTAGAGCGTGGGAGATAAAACACCTCCTTCCCTCATCCTTGTATGACATGAAAAGAGGGTCCTACAGAATGGTCCCAGAACACCTTGCTTGAGCAGCTGTTGTAGAATTCTGCAATGGTATGCAGCAGAGCTGGGGACGGGTGTGTTGCTGCTGTCTTTGCCAGGAGACCTTCCTGCCAAACCCTGTCAAATGCTTTCTGAGCATCCAGCATGGCAATGTATAGCCGTTGGTTAGAGAGCTTGTAGATTTCAATGACAAGGTCCAGGGCTTTTTCTGTACGAGTGCAGGATCTTCCCTGCCGGAATCCGAATTGGAGTGAGTCTGGTATTTGGTGCTCTTGTAGGTGTTGGGTGAGTTTAGGTTTGACCAGCAGCTTGCCTAGGACGGGGGTGAGTGTGATGCCTCTACAGTAACCTGGAACAGATGGATTCTTGTCCGTCTTTGTGAAGAGGGATCGCAAGACTTTCCTGAAGTTGGGCTTGCTAGGAAAGGCTATATTCAGGTCAATATGCATAGGTCGGCTAGTTCTTCTGGAATGGTGCTCGTCTTCCACAGTGTGCTGAACCCTGTCAGGCTTGGGATGGCGTTACTTCCCTGCTTGATGAGTTTGGGGCATATCAGCTGGATGTTTTTCTTGACCCCTGCTTCCCTCGACATCCATTTTACTTTTGGCAATGTTTGGTGGGTAGCACGGTCGGAGAGGAAGCTTGTCTGCCCCTACGTTGGGCATGGAGTTACCAGGAGTATAGTGGTGCTTCTGCAAGGTTTTCCTGCAAGGAATTGCCAGCCAGGTCTTGAATTGTTCTATTGTTTGTGGGCCTTTTGGTGATGTTAGTTGTTACTGCATTGTTTGTCAATGGTTCCCTATGCAGGTGTGTGCCACTGTTAACTTTATCTAGGACCTCTTCATCACCAACTAGACTTTCAAACCTGTTGCTGGTTGGAGTGCTATAAAGGTCCTCAGCCATCGTGTGGTGAATACCAACTAGTGAATTAGGAGGAGATGGTAGATTGCCGTTGCTCTCATCATGACGTACCTTGTGCATCCTGGGGGGTATTTCACAAAGATCCTAAGTAGAACTTAACACTAAGTTGGACTTAAAAATTATGGACAGCCATGCATTGGAGCCTTAAAATGAAATATATCCAAAAGCAGAAATTCAAGTGTTTTAGACTTTTTTTTATAAATTCCACGCCAGGAACATGAAATCTCCCATGATAATAGGAAATATGAATGATTTGAATCAACATTTTATGCCTTCTACAAAGAAATTTACAAAATATTTTCAAGGATGCTAATGGCTTCCCATAATATTTAAGTCCAACTTACAGTTAAGTTCGACTTAGAATCTTTGTGAAACACCCCCTAGGTAGGGATAAAGTGTTGATGTTTGTCTTAGTGTTGGCTCATAGATCTAGAGTACTGGTTTAAGTAAGCTTGCTGACTGGGTTGGTTATAGTTACAGGGGGACATGCCCACAGCTCAAAGTTTTGACAGGAGCTGGTGGTCGATGGTCCAGGTTGTAGACGGTAGCGGGAAGGTGAACCCAGGTGATGGTTCTTAGACCTGTACTGCTGAGTGCTATTAGTGAAGGATCTGCTCTTTTGCAGCCTTGGCTGTTGCGTTGTATTAGGACTAGTTGGACTTCGTGTTGATGGTGTCTCTGCAGGGACGATTTCATTACTGAAAATATCAGAGAGGCCTTGCGTTTGGCAAACAGTGGTTAAAAAATCAGCTTGCAGCTGGAGAGATCTTAGCTCAGCTTCCTCCTTGAGCAACGAGTTCCACAAGGTGAGTAGTTCCTTGTCCTTGCTTTCAAGTAAGGCCTTGTCACAGTCTTGTAGGTCCTGTAGGCTCTTAAGCTCCTTCTGGTTAAGGAGTTGCTCATTGTCCATTAATATGACTGCGTTTATGTTGCATTTTTCCTTCAAGTCTTCCTCAAGCTCCTGTGTCTGCTTGGAAAAAGCTTTATATTTAGAGGTTTTTGATGGGGGATTCTCATAAGCAGTTGGGTTAGGGATGGTGTTATTTGAAAGAGTCCTCTGAGTCTCATCTTCCAACCCAACTGTGTGCCCGCTTTCACCATGTTCATGAGGAGCTTTGTTCACATCTATGACGTATAGTTCAGGTCCAGGTTCTTCAGGTTGACCTTCTTCAATGAAAGCTCTCACAGAAGTTGCATGCATACCTCCATCTTGATTACTGCTGTCAAAGTAATCCCCCTCGTTAGATGTACCCTTTCTGTCAGGCTCTGAGGCAAGGGAGGAGCACCACTGGGACATGTCCCGAAAACTTGTTTCATTTCTGGTTGTTCATCCATTTGGGCTTCTCTGAGATGTGGCTTGGTGAGGTGTCATCACGAGATCGTAGCGTCAAGCAGACATAAAATTATACTTTACAGGTTCATTAATACTATTATAATACCCGTTTGAAATTCACAATGATGTTAAAGTTTTTACCTGCTTTTAAGTCATTACCATATTCCTTTTTTATTTTTACAGTGTAACTGATGGCACTGATGTGTGGCGGCTGGCTATGGATTATCTCCAGTTAGAATCTCATGTAAGAACTTAATGAAAGGATAGGTTATCCAGTATTCACATTAATAATGACAATGTATTCACAGAATTCAAGCCATATCACAGGGCATGAAGAAAGATACCCCAGCCCCCTCACTAGCTGCAGTCGTGTTTAATAGTGTGTTTAAAAAGTAGAAAATACAAAAACAATTCCACAAACTTTAGATACCACTGCACATGATAAGAGGGATGTTCTGTTCATGATAAGACATTTTAAACTTGATTTTGTCTTTCTTTTGCTCTAATGAATAAATATTACGCAGAATACTTCTAGGATTGCCACATAATTAATATCTAAGCCATTAATATAATGTATTTTGAAATGTGATGTATATTCATCATTTTGATAAGTCTATTCTTCAACATTCCTCTTTTTTAAACAATTTCTCTATGTCTCACTTTGTTAACCTTTTCCCTTTGCAGAGAGATTTGGCAGAAGTGACTACATATGAGGCTTACTTTTTAAGATTCAGGTTTGTAGGGGTGTATTTTCACTATTCATTGTTAATGTGTTATCAAAGGACAGACAATCAATATTTTGATTAACTAAGTAGATGGGTCTATCGGGTAAAAGTCTGTCATTTACAGATTGCCAAATTGACTTCATATCATGACTTAAAAAAACAGCTTTTTTTTGTTCTTCTCTCCTTTTCCTTTCTTTTGTTTCTGTTTTTGTTTGTTTATATTTGAAATAAATTGTTCTTTTTTCTTTCTTTTTTTGGTTTGTAATACATCAATAAGAATCAAAGAAATTGGCAGATTGATTTGAAAGGATTTCATGATAGCATTTCCAGTTTATATCTTGGATAACATGGTAAGTAGGGTACTGGCATGTTACACCCTGCATGGTTATTTGATATTTCTTTGATGTCCATCCATTTGCCATGCTCCTCGCGGCCTGCAGGAATGCTTTCAGAGTTGGAGACCTCACAGTGACGCTCCAGAACCATAAGGTCCTTCTGACGGTAGGGAGCGGCTCCAATGGTGCCATCAGCTACGACCTGTATGAAGCCAGAGCCAACGAGAAGAAAGCTGACCTACAGAGGGCGCTCTTCTACTTTGCAGAAAATTGCAGTGAATTGGAGAAGAGACTGGCAGGTGAATATCAAGAAAATCTCATTTGAAAACACGGAATGCAATATTAAATATATTTAATCAGGATAACAAGAATCAGATAAACATTGTAGATACAAAATCTGTTTTACATCATGGTCCTGAACAGTATAAAAATGTAATACACAGAAATAGAAATAATGAAAATCATCAAAGCTCACAAGCAAAGGTACAAACCGTATAATACTTACATATAAGAATAATATGCATTAGATAGAAGTAAGTAAAAAGCAACAACAAATATTAGAAGGGGAATTCCTCAACAGCCAAGTGTTTTAGGTTCACTTTCTCCTTTTTTATACTGTAACGTGTTTGTCTGTTTGTCTCTTACACACCATTCTTATGTAACTGGGATTACTGCCAAGATTGCTCCGCCATGGTGTTATACTGCCATCTTATGGCTGAATAATGCCCAGTCGTTGTTTTCGTGTAATCTGCCCTTTTTGGCACACAATGTGATCAAAGCCTATTCCATAATAATGAAGTTTAGTAACTTAATTTCAAATTTTAGACTTAGTATGCCCCTTGAAATGTGATATTTTGATAATAATTTGAAGATGAATATTGCAGCTTTTAATTATTTCTCTTTGTATTGATGCTTTTTTAATTTGCAGCAAAAGAAGAGGAGTTGGCATCAGTAAAGAAACAGAGGTCAAATGCCACTGATCAGGGCAACATGTTGAAAGGTAAGATGATTTTAATGGTTGTGATAAAGAACTTAGATCAAGCTGTAGAGACATGGGGTTTGTAGTGAAAGAGCATGAGGGGGAGGGAGGAGGGAGGGGGGAGGGCGGAGGGAGGGAGAGAAACGGATGAAGAGGCCGTTTTTAGGGGAGGAGCTGGGGAGGGGGTAGGGTGCTCTGAGAGATCGACGGGGGGCTGGGGAAGAAAAATTAGCCTAGGTTTTGGGAGAAAGATAGAGAGGGATGTTTAGAATAAGCTTTGGAATCCCTATTTTAATCTTGCATTTAGGAGTTATAACCTCTATTGTCTTGATGAAACCCCATGATGGCTAGATATTTCATTCCTCCACTTCACTAGTTTGATCTGATGAAATCTGTTAAAGTTGGAAAATGACATGAAAAGAAAATTAATTTGAATGAGGAATACTTAAATAGGTACACCATGGAGTGTTCTTTGTTGGAGAAATGTGTTAGTTCTTAAAAGACCTGTTGTATCATTCTTTGGTGGTTATAGACTCTAGTTCTGACAAGAACTTTTAGATATTTCAAAGAAAGTCAGAAGAATGGCTTAATGAGTGTGTGTGTAATTGGGTTTTTACAGACGTTTATCAATCAGATATGATTGAGAGAAATCATGACAATATCTGGTTGATATGCAGACATTAAAGGAAAACAATGAGTATGCAGACGCGAGGGAAAGCCTTGTTAGTTGGTTGAGGAAATCTTGTTGATGGGTGGTAACCAGATGTTATTGATCTGAAGGCCGCTGTCTTGAGGTACTGTATCATGTTGGAAGAATTTCTATGGCTTCTCATACCCTCCTAGTGTGCCAGTGTTGGATAGATGTGAGAAGTTGGCTGTTGTCCCACTCGATCCTATGCCCCTGTAGTTCTGCATGTTTCACATAAAGTAATTTGTTCTGTATTGTGTTTTTTTGTTTTCTTCTTTTAGATTTTGAAATGAAGAAGCACACAGGAAGCCAAGCCAAGATGGTCAAACAGCCAGGGCTCAGCATTGTCAACCCTTCCAGTAAAAAGTAAGTCATAGTCAAATTATTTATTAATTAATTTTATTAATTATTTATTTATCTTCTAATTTATTTTTTTGTATTACTATGTTATCGTATTTCATTATATTTTATATCATTCATTTATTTACGGTCTAAATCGTTCATACCCCTTATAATTTTGACGTTTTATGTGTTTTCCTGTTGCTCAAAAATGCAAAAAGAACTGGTTGAATTAGGGCTTTTGTTGAATACTTTTAGATGCAAGCTGTAATATTTCATATTGTCAGGAAATATAAATTTGGACAAATCAACTTTTAACATACTTACAAAAAAAATACAAATCTTGGTAAGGTTATGAATAATAATTTACGTTACTAGACTATCCATCAATATGTGTTTACTTTTTCTTTGTGTTGTAACAAAGGTGGACTTAAGAAATGCAAATCCTCGAAAGAAAGACAAAATGTATTTTGAAAGCAGTTCTGTGCCCAAGTGGCAACCAAACGGTGTAATTGTATGGGAATTAAAGTCTGATGGAAAGAAAAATCCAAAGAATTGAGAGCTTGAAGGAATGAAATTATACTTTTGCTGTTCAAAAAATATATATATATATATTGTATATTAGCTTACCATGCCTCATGTTCCAAGGTTTATTTTTAAGTACCGGTAATTAATGATATGGCAGGAGAGACCGCGTGGGGTATAGTGATTTAGTTTGCTGACACAAAATCATTAGATAATAATGGAAGTCCCTGTAAGCTAGGAAAGAACTTCACCTGGTAAAATAAGTGTACCGGTATCTCTAAGGTTAATTCCCCATACTGATTCTTGATACATGTACATGCATTAACATTACAGACGAAAAGCTGCTAAAGGAGTGGATTTTGACTGATGCCAGACGATGGATATGCTTATCAAATGAAACACAACTCCAAAGGGTGAACATAGAAGTCTTTCAAGATGGATGTATGGTATTGATAACTCATACATATCACGATGCGTGCCCTGAATCTAGTGCATATTTCTCTATGTGACTCAAGCTGTGATTTAGGTTTCTCAAAATGGCTTACCTCGAATCATTGGGTCATCACGTTGGGTCGTGTAGTTGCGTTACCAAACCTTATGTGAAATTGAAAACATGCCCATTTATTCACAAAATTTGGGGGGGGGGGAATGTTGGTGAAATAAATTACCCCTCTCATCTACAAATGGTCTGGTCTAATTTACCCGACACTTTGTGAAAACCCTATGGCAAATCTACGAGAGGTCGCGTCCCTAACATGCATCTTCACATGATCTTCTGCATTCGTTCTACGAAAGATCAAACGCGACCACCCTACCGGACGCGATGACCCGATGATTCGAAGTAAGCCTCTCAAAATGCATCTTATACCAGTAACAATGTGGTAAGACACCCTTGGAACTGAGATTGGAGATAAATCCCTAGCTATCAAGCTGCAGTAATAAATGATACTTGAATCTGATGGATGACAATTGTTTGCATATATTGTGTGGAACACATTGAACTTCCTTATTGAACAGTTTTTTCCATTCCTACTAAATTTGCATATTGACATGAATGATTAGATGTTATTACACAGATTATATTACTAGATGAAATTACATTACTTGATAAAACTGAGATTGGAGATAAATCCCTAGCTATCAAGCTGCAGTAATAAATGATACTTGAATCTAATGGGTGACAATTTTTTGTTTGCATAACTGTATGGAAGCATTAGACATGCTAGTTGAACAGTTTTTACCATTCCTATATAATTTGAATATTGACATGAATGGTTAGATGATTACACAGATTATATTACTAGATGAGCTTACATTGCTCGATGAAATTACTAGATAAAACTGATTTGGTTTTATAAGCTGTACTCAATGAAATTGGACTTTTCAAAATTATTCATGATTCGTCCCATCATGACATACACTGCGTGATGTAATTTACCTTTGAATACATGTAAGAAATAAACAGTGAATTTTCGTACATTTTTAAGAACTGAATAGTAATTTTGATATTGAATGAATTATTCATTTGCAGAAAACTGAACTTGCCATTTTCAAATTTAAACTGTTGAAATGTATTGTATTCTGATCAAATGAACATTTTATGAGAGATATACTGTTCTTTTTAAATAGCTAATCATATCATTATGATATAGGTTATAACAAAAAATGAATTGAACTTTAAATACAAATGGAGGTCAATGAATATTTGGGGAGCACCTCTCGAAATGAGCCAAATAGTTGAAACTTTATATCTAATGATTTAATGACAGATTCTTTGAAAGAAAATGAAATTCCATGTACTGTTGAAAGGATAATAATTTGCTAATTGAGAAATGAACTTTTAATCCATTTATTAATATTGAGGAATTACGGATCACAATTATGAAATATTGAACCAAATGTTAAGGTATTAGCCTCATTAGTTCTATTTGCAATGCAATATAATGTTATTGTTAATATGCAATTTCTTCTTTATAGTCAAATCATTCAAAGTGAGCAATTTATCTGTAAATAATTCTTTTTTACCTTTATCAAAATTCATCTAATTGTATTATTTGTAAATGTCTTTGATGTACTGAATGAAGTTATGTACTTGATGTAGATGTCTTATTAAATATCCCCAATATATGAAACATACTGATTGTGTGTTATTTTTGTAAGTTACTGTGAATCTTACTGAACTGTTTTTAGCAAGGCTCATGAGCATAGATCAGTGAGCAACTCCAATATATTACCTTTTATACCTAAACTTCAGGACAGTTCTCATTATAAGATGATGATGTGGATCCTAATCAAATGATTGATTGAAAGCGTACACGTCACCAGGCATTTATTTTGCCTAACGCGTAATTTAGATAATGACTGGTCATTATCCAATTCTAATGACCGGTCATTAGTAAAAGTCATATTATAAAACAAATTAAAACATAATCTTATAAAAAAAATATTACACATCATTTTGTTCGGGCATTATTAAAATTACCCACACTCAGTACTTTCAAAACAGTCCAAACACCCGAGGCGGTAGGTGTGTTGGACTGTTCCAAAGGTACCTTGTGTGGGTAATTCTTACCAATGCCTGTACTGCTGTGTATTATTTGTATATGAGACCAGTCACTTCAACTTTATTTTGACTGCAAATGTATACAACTGGACCTTCATTTTAGTTCCTGTTTGTTTATCTTGATGCTCTAGAATACACTTGGGCTCGGGTGGCATGTGCCTCCCCGCCCCCATCAGTTAGTGGAAAAAAGAAAAAGAATAGGGAAAGGGAGAAAAGAAGACACCTGGGACCCGTTTCATGAAACTTGTTATCAATATCAAATGTTTATTTTCTTCTCTAAGCCAATCAAATGCCACTATTTCAGTAGCGTGTAATAATAGTTATTGTTTGATAACAATTTTTATGAAACGGGGGCCCTGAACCACCTTTCGCACCCTACCCCTAATCAGGAGTGTAAATTTGCATGTCACTTTCTAAGTAAGACCGGTACATCCTGCCCCCCCCCCCTCCCCGATCATTCCAGTACCCCATCCATAGGTGAGCTTGTACGTGCTACACCACTGCTTGTGTTTATATACATTTTGCAATCAACACGCACAAGTCCTGTAAATACACCTACATGTAAAGAGATCATTCGACTGATTGATATTATCTTGTCCATCTGTAGTTACCACATGCCTTTATTGCCACTTCAAGTAACAAATATCCCAGGGTAATTGATACAAACTTTTTACAGCTCTGTCTTTGTATGAACTTTGCAATCAATTAAAACATGCATGTCAAGCATATACAATCAGACAGATTGACTCATTAAATGTTATTTTGGAGATACTACAACTCCCAATATCTTTGATTTTGACCTTGCTCAAAGTCTTTGGCATATATGTTCATGTCTATGTAAATATCATTACCTCTTTGAATTGGGTTTGATTTTATAGTACCGATTACACTTTTTAAATAGTCGTGTATGGCATGTATTTTATTGATGCATGTATGTTACCTGCATATCATCAAACAATGAAATAAGTAACAATAGCTGTGTTGCTGCATCATTTTACCAACCTTATTCCTGTTCAGAAGCTTTTCTTTCAGTTTAATAAAATAAATAAATATTTATCTGTATCCAGGTTAATCGGTTGCTAGGAGGATGTTGAGCCATATGCTATGACATTTAATATTATTTTCATAACAATTTTTACCTTTCACATGCTAAAGATCTAAATTGCTTCTTTATACACCAGATCATTAGGATAAAAAAGAAATGGCCCTACAGTAAGTAGAGACTGTCGTAAGCGCAGAAACCGGCTTCAAAGTATAGCCCTTTAAAAAGATTGAACAAAGGTGACATTTTGTACTTTCCCTATCATAATACATACATTTGAAGAGCTATGCAAATAATTTGCTTTAGCAGGTCATTGTAGGATCAATCAATGGTTAACTATGATTTGATGAGATATCTATTGTTTGATAACACTTCTTCATTTGGGTTGCTCATAACAACTGATTGCACAGTGAAGTAGTATCAACTTTGGTTGCGTGTCTTAGTCTTTGATACCTGATGGCAGTCATTAAACACCTTCAAACTCTTAGATCTGTTGTGGCACAATTTTTACCGTAACTGTAAGTATGTGTAATAAGTACTACCAATATCAGGTTATTGAATATATAGTTATAATAACACTTACTACACTTTTTAAATAGTCATGTATGGTTATTAATCTGAATGCAATGTTTTGATACATTCATGTATTTGTTTGAGCATATAGCTTGTGACTGACAAGATTTTAGCAGGTTGGAAGTTCATGAACAATCTTCTCTTTGCATATAGTTGTGTTGAACACCAATTTGGTATTATTATGTGTTAAGTAAATACCTTAAAAGTTAGGTGTTTTGTCTACAAATGAGAGAGTATATTAAATACGAGCAAGACTTCAAAAATTCACCTCTGCTGGAAAATGTAGTGTCTGTACATCAAACCACTTATAATTAACAGAATTGCCAATTAATGGGCCGATAATTAAAAGTTTTGTGTTCTATACATTATAGGTAGGTATCCACAACCGATTGAGGAAACCTTTGTTGCTAGAGAAGTGGAATGGCATCACCCAGTTACAGTAAGGTGATGCAATCTAGGAAGCTGTGGAATGGTAGTCATGGCACCATCCTTCCACCGGTAGCTCCGACATCCAAGAGACCGGCCGAGGGTAGACCTAGTGCAGGTCTTCAGCGAATCCAACCCTCGGGACTGTCCAAGCCAAGAGGTAAACACAATCTGCTGGAATCGGAGCCTTTAGTGTCGAGTGGTAGACGTAGATCGGTGTCTTTTGATGAGGTGTACTTGCAGAATGCGTTAGCAGCGTCACAGGGACAGTCTAATCGCAGCTCTGGTGGAGTGTCCCGTTTGAGAGCCGATACAAGTCTCTCAAGACGAATGCGTTCAGGTAGCATTAGCTCCATCAAGGAATGGGATAGTTGGTCAGACGGCGGTCCTGCCCCAAGTCACAAGAAACCTCTCTTCCTTCCTGGCATTAGCAGCCATAGAGATCTAATAGGAGAGGTTCGCATCCGCCATCCAGTGATGTCCAGAAACAAGCGCAGTACTTACCCCGCCTATCGCACCGACGCCTCCAGCAGCCTGAATTCTTCAAGCTGGGACAACTATTTTGGACAGAACAGCAGGGGCAGGCAGTGCCATCAGTCCTCGGAAGAAAAGGGAGTGAAGTACGAGAAAACATATCGCATGGAACCTAGGACCAACTTTCACCGGGCAGAGGGAAGCATCCGCACAATGATGGAAGACTACTTGGAAAACACCCTCAACGATCTTTCTGCCGACTCATCAACTACTGCAACAGAGGCTGCATGTGCTTCAAACAGGCTGGCTGAGTCCATCAAACACCAGGTCAAGCTGGAGCGGTTGGAACGCTACAAGGTCATCTCTTTGGCAACGATATGCCTGAAATCTGGACAGGACTTGGTCAGTTCAAGCCGTTGTGTCTGGGACACCCAGACAGATGGGTT